GCACCTATTCATTGTTGCATTCCATGGTTTAGTGTGTGCATTTCTCTTTTGAATTATAGTTTCGAGAATTATTTTATTTCGAGAATAGTTTGAATCTTAATTTTTTTAATCTGTTTATAATTTCCAATACTAAATTGTTCACCATATGTGTTATATTAACCAAATAATCATTGTGCTTCCCATCGGAGAACAATACTCGACACAATTTGACACTTATGCTGACAACAATAATATTACATGTGACATATTTGTTCGTACATACAATAATGTGGTCATAAACGCTCTTCCAGTTGCAATTATACACATGTGATATATTTGTACATGCATATAAGTAACTTATTAAACACCAAATCACATGGGTTGAATTGTAAAACAAACTTAAGTTGTATAGCAATTGTTTCTGTTATGTTATGTTTCTGTTTCAGTGGAGTTAATAATACTAATAACAACTTATTTACTGATATTGCGAATGTGACAGACACGCCCGATGCATGACAGAAGAATAGAATATTACAAAAACAGAAAATAATAATATACAGAAACAAGCACTAATACATTTTCAAAAATGAACAAATGGTTATTGAAATGGTTAAAATAGTTCGATACTGTTTTTGATAGCGTGTGGTAAGCCGTTCAATAAAACTAAACCAGTAACAGGAAACGCCCTTCCACCACAAGCTACTAAATTAGATTTTGGTACAACACACTGGTTAGAGAAGCGTAACCAAGATGCCAGTGGCATGTATCATATCATCATGTCGCTTATATAGACTGAGGCCTTGTATCTTGAACTCTAATTTTAACCAATGTAGTTTAATAATGGTTAGAGTGATATGATCATATATTTCACTGCAAACGATAAGCCGAGAAGCAGATTCTGAGTCCTCTGCAATTTAGAAATCAGAACACTGAATAAATCAGGAAATTACAGTAGTCTATTCATGAACTGACAAGGCCGTGTACAAACATTTCGATAGTTTTAATGGATAAACATTTCATAATTTGTGATATTCTTTGAATGTGATAAAATGACGTTTTACAGCTGTATACAATATGTATGGTTAGCACCATCTACCTGTTAAACATAACACCATGTGTCCGTACACTATTCGTCACGGAAACCAATGTACCATCAATGTCTACATAATCTATACTGTTTTTTGCTGTGGCTGTCCAATTAATACAAGTTGACAGCTTTTAATTTTGACATAAGTATGTATATACGGGACTTAATATCGTAAATTATCCTGGCCATTCATGGAATTGAGCTCAAACTTTATGTACCCAAAACGATTTTTCAAATCAAATCCAGCAAGTTTTGCGCTCACCCAAAATTTCTACAGGAACACTTTCAGTACTATAGAACCTCTTATTGGCTGACTATTGAATTCTTGCTAATATGAAAAAATGATATCCAGCCAAATCTATATTGCCTTATTCCTAATGTAAAAACAGTGGAGATAACATGATACAACTTTGACGACTGGTCCAGTTACTCAATAGCACCTGGCTCTAAAACCAAACCAAACCTGTGCAACTATTTGACGGGTCGTATATTATCCCCACGAACCACATCATCACTCAGTTCTAAGCATTTGTTTTCACGCCACACTCATACATAATCAACTGGACAATGATTGCGCAATTAAATTCACCGCCGTTTATCACCATCGTTTAATCTATATTGAGTATATATTTACAGACTATTCCGCATCAAGTTGTACCAAAATGATTTTTGTGCCAACTGATCTTGTATCACTACTGGTGTTGTTGATGACAATGCTCTTAGCATGGATAACTACCCAACACTACCTGGCACCTTGCAAGAACTTCCCACCCGGACCTTGGGGCTTACCTATCATTGGCAGCTTTATGTACTTCGGATCTGACATACACACAGACATGATGAAACTCTCAAAGAAATATGGTGATGTTTATAGTCTGAAGATGGGATCTCATACAGCCACTGTTGTCAGTGGAGTGAAGGCCATACAAGAATGTCTCGTGCAGAAAGGAAATGATTTCGCTGATAGACCTGATACGTGGACGATCGGCCTCTTTAACCCAAGATGTGAAGGTACACATTTCTAGCAGTGGATTGTCAGTCGTTTCTCCAAATTTCAAATGATACAATGTTATGTAGTGTTATGGTATAAATGTATATCCTTCAACAGGTATTGTTCGTGGTCATTTCGACAATAAATGGCAACACCGTCGGCAATTCGCCCATGCAACGCTTAGAAGCTTCGGATTTGGTAAAACATGTATGGAGAGTAAAATATGTGAGGAGATCTTGTTTTTGTTAGACGAATTTCGGGTAAGACTATACTATAAACCCAAAATCTGATATAATTCACTCTATTTAATATAACAAATTGCTATTATCGCTGACAAGCTTTCAGTTCATGTCAATGGAAGGTTATCATATATCCCATGATTTGATTTGCATGTTTCTGCATGGCTGTTCTGTGGCTAGACTATTCACTTAGCATGTATAATACGTAGTACAATACCCTTTGTATAAACAATTTCTCCAAAATAAATTCAGTTCACGCAAAAACAAAAATATCCACTGTGTGATAATAATTTTATCTTATTTTAGGATATTCAAAATCAACCTATCAACGCAGGCAATATCATTAACAGGAGTGTTTCCAACATAATTTGTTCAATAACGTTTGGTAAACGATTCAAATATTCTGATCCAAATTTTATTTTCATTGTTGATATCTTGGGGAAATGTTTTGAGAGCCACGGTAAAGTGTATGTCTTGGATTTTCTACCATTTGTGAGACCATTTAACCAGTCAAATATAAAAACTTTCATTGCAACTCGTAAAGATGTTGAGAAGTTCTGCAAACAGCAGATTGATGAGCATCGTGAAGTATTTGATCCAAACCACATTGGAGACTTCATCGATGCATGCTTGGCTGAGCGGACCAAACACAATAGCAAAGTAGATTTCACTGATGATCAGTTAAAATTTATGTTAGTGGATATCTTTGGCGCCGGCACTGAAACTGTAGTGACTACACTTATATGGGGATTACTGTTTATGGTTCTACATCCAGAGATACAGGAGATAGTGTATAATGAATTAGATCAGGTATGTGAGGTATATATTTATATATCTATATGATTATATATGATTTTCGAATGATCTGCTCAAATTCAACAGCATTCATGTAAATGATTCTAGCAATTGTACGAATTGGATAAAGTCCCAACTGATGTAATCTTGGTTTTTTAAATCTTGAACAAAGGTTGTTGGAGCAAATCGCCTTCCGAGACTCAATGATCGTAAACACTTGCCTTATACGGAAGCCACTCTTTTGGAGATACAACGAATTGGAAGTATTCTACCATTCGCACTACCACATCGTGCCTTGAGAGATACTACTCTTGGTGGATACAATATTCCCAGTGGAACTGCAGTCACTATATTACTTTGGTGAGTGATATCTGTACGTATTCAGTGAGCAACTGGCCTAATTATATGCGTATTTTCGCCTGTGTACTATACATAATCACTATATATGAGCATAATATAATTAGAATAATTGGAAGAAATTGATCAACTGCATACAATGTACATTCAGGAATACTTGGTTAATAAATTAGTGTACAGTCGTACTCGAGATGTTATGAGGTGTATTATCTTTAAAAACATGGTGCCAATTTGCACTAATTCTTTTTTATAATAACCCTTGCAACAGGTCGATTCATAGAGATCCAAATACGTGGCCAGATCCAGACAAATTTGACCCTATGAGGTTTTACGATGAAAAGAATAATACAGTCAAGAAGTCGGAAAATTTCATGCCTTTTCTGCAGTGAATAAGTTTATGTAAATGTTTTCTGGTTGATGTTTACGTAGGAGTTTGTAATACGTAATGTCACAATCCGATGAGGAGTATAAGGCTCCAATTCATTTTTTATATATTTTATGTAATTTATGAATAGTTTTTGATTTACTTGACGTTGTTTTGTTTGTATATGTCGTACCTCGGTCGCCTTAACTACATCTGACTCAATGCAATATCGTGCAAATCTAGCTTAAGAGTCAACCTATCAGAGCAGGGGTTACCAACTTCTGAAAATATAAAGAGGAGAAAAACAAAATACCACGTGTTTCTAAAATCCAACTAGTTTAAAATAGTTTTATTATTTTTATCTATGGTGAATACACCATGTAAAATAAATCTGTAAACTAAATCTTGCTAGGGAAGTAAATATTTATTCCATGTGATGAAAGATGTTCTGTATCTGTAACTTGTTCCCGAATAGTTGAAATAGGTCATTTTGCACTTGTGCATGTCTTTACCATGAAATATTAGATCAAAATACCAGTCCAATAAATGAATTGAAGATGATAAAGTATCACAAGTTCTGAACTGCAGAATTTCTCACTATAGCACCAGATTCCAAGCTTGTCCATTAAAAACAACCAGCTCAATTGCTCTGATACTTGGTATCAAATTGCGCTGGCAGTTTTCAAGAAGAATTCATTGCTCGACTTTGCTACCACAATGTTCTCATTGTAGTACAAATCACAGAAATCGACTCATGGCCTGATATGATCGACAGTTTGCCAAATATAACCACAGATATGGGTGAATGCAAGTGTTGATGAAAACACAAGACCTGTGAAACAACCCCACCGCCGTATTCTTTTCCATGTGAGAAAACAAGTTGAAGAAAACCTAAATTAGCTTGAAAAAGAGGACACCATCGAGTGCGCACAAGGTCACCTTGAGTTCACCCAATTCTAGTATCAGAACCCAACAGGCCCAACAAGATTTGATTTATGATTTATGATTTATTTCACCAATAATAATAACAATTCTAGTAATCTTATAATAATAATAATAATAAAAATTTCTTGGTGTGGACCACAGAGGTAGTTCATCCGAACTAATCTAGTCTGTGGCCCAATCCTAACCAATATACATTTCTATGCAGGCTATATATATACACATACACACACACATATACATATATATATACATACACACACATATACATACACATATACACACACACACACACATACATATATATACATATATATACGCATACACACGTGCACACACATACATATATACACATACAAACAAAAAAGATTAGAATATGCTCGTAGTTTAAAATTGTTTTAAACCACTAGAAATATGTGTGACGACATCTACATTGGTGGCATCGATAAAACAGATCACGACAAGCACCTAGAGCAAGTTTGCAGACAACTGTACGACAATGACTTCACAATCAACCAACATTTTTTGCATACAAATGGGTAAACTCGATACATTCCTATACAAGCTAGCACCATAATTTGTCTGCTTTAAGCATGAACATTCTATTTACCGGACAACTGTTGAAGGAATGGAGGAATTAATCTGCCAGCAAGAAGCACAATGTGTTTCAATTGGAATGCCGATACTTTGTTAAAAATATATAATACTATATAGGTCACGTTTCACGATTTAACTGCACTTCTAATTAACGTTCGGAGAAGGTTAGAGGAAAATGCAATAGCCAGCTGGATTTAAGTCTCACGTCTTGATTGTGTTATGCATTTGTAGTTTTGTATTTCAATGTTGTATTTTTGTAGGTCGACGTGTCTGTATGGGTGAACAGTTGGCAAAACATGAATTATTTCTATACTTCTCAGCCATGGTGCATCAGTTCAAGTTCACCTTGCCAGTCGGAACCAAGAAACCCTGCACTGAGGGTGTTCTGGGTATAACATTGGTCCCCAAACAATATGACGTTGTCATCAAAGAAAGACACACTTGATGTGTTTGTATGATGTCATTATTTGTATTATATAGAACATGCACACACATGTGGATTTTGAATATTTTTACTAACATTAGTGTTGGATTTCAATAGAACATTGACATACAAAAGTATATATATATATATATAACAAGGTAAAGACGTGTCATGTTTCAATGGGCACACATTAAAAACCATATAAAATAGTTTAGAACATTTTGGGATAATATAGGTTGGGAATTGCCATTGTACTATTATACAGTTAAGATGAATATTGTTTTAATCAAAAGGCGCCATTGCTGGCTATCACAAAATGCGTCAATATCGAAATAGGTTGGTTGTTTACTATATTATTTTATAGGAATTATATAATTTGAATATTTTTAGAAGCATAATATAAAGGCGCAAATATTCGAGACGACATTTCAAATACCCCCAAACTGAATTATTGGAACAAATATAATTTACTACACTATGTAATAAAGTAATAAATTTGATATTGTAGAGACACTCGTGAAATGTTTTCTATCTGTAACTCAAATTGGTTCCAACTGTCATTATTTTTATGTTTAGACTACATTTATGTTATGTAAATATCACTATATTGAAATAATGTATGCAGGAATAATAAAGGAAGTTGATATATTTATTGTGTGTTGTAAGACATGTGAAATGTTCTTATATGGAGGGGAAAATATACCTGTATGAAATATTCTGTATATAGTGATTTATTATAGAAAATAGCAAAAGCGCAGAGATAATATAAATTAACAATTATTTCAACTAATGGTATATATTTATCATGTCATGTTCTTTTCAGTACGTTGTTCGTGAAATTGTGTGGAACTGCTTTTTCCTATTGAGTTTGAATGAGTGTGAAAATCATGTGACGTTGTGCTATTTTAGCAATCAGGGTACCGCTCTTTACTGAGCATATATTATTTGAAGTAATAACCATGCTCATTCAGGAATCCAAAGTTGTATTAATATGTTTATTTACAAAACGTGTAACGTACATAACAAAAACTATTATACATTTCAAAAGTTAAGATCAATAATACCTAGTTTCTGTTGCAATTAGGGGAAATGTTAGTCCTGCTAAAGATAAAGTAATGTGACCACAAAAGCAAGATTGTTGCATATCTGTTGTCTTTTATCTGATCACAAATTTCTACATATTAATATGCAATCAAATTGGATATTAACATCATTGGTCATGTGACCATGTAAATTGTTTCTGAATAAATTTGTAGTGTCTGGTCAGTAATTGGGAGTGAATAATATGTTAATATAATGTCAATACAAATCAGATTTTCAAAATTTGCAATCTAATATATGGTCACAAACTTATTTGCTATTTTTTGTATCCAAACTCAAGTAAGGTGCATGTCTTTAGTATCGTAATCGTGTGTTATGGTATTACACAATTAAACAAACACAAATTAAAACACTTTACAAATTTATGAGTACGAAGAATAAAACCAACACGAACGTGTAACAAGTGACTAACATACAATGTATGTTTGGGATTATACAACTTTGTGTCAGTTAAAGTTTACTCATCAGATCTATATTTGTGATCTGTTGTATAAGTTGATATGCATGTAGGGGGTAATCGAACCATTCATAAATATATTTGCAACCAGAAACGCACATATCATTAATCAGATCACTAACTGGACATGTATCAATTTGTTTTAAATATCAATGAAGAGGGTAAATGTGTGAAAAGATATAATAATATAGCAAAATATTAAGGAAATTGCTGTCAGTCGATCATATTTGATGCAATTGTGAAACTAGATGCCTTGACACATTTAATTGAAGAAAAAACATGTTACCGATACATTTTCTAAAAAAAAGATGGCTGCCAGTCATCATGTATTATGTATGTACCAAATTTGAATGAGAACTGACAAAGCATTCCACATTTTCAAAAAAAAGATGTCTGCCAGTCGGCCACATTCGATTTGATTATGAAACCAACTGACGTAATTGTAATGTTGTTATCTGACATGTAAACATCGTATCTGTTCCTGCCATCTGGCGCATGAGTCATGGTCATTGCTATAAATAAATCACTTGTACTTTAGCATTGAAACGGGTTGTATCTAGTCTTACTTGCTCCCTATTACCCAGGCATTGATATACGGGGTTGTCAATACGTTACATTGGCGACGACGGATTCAGGAACTCATGGCGTCCGAAAGCATCCCTCACTATGAACCATTCCAAGTCCACGAGGAACCTAGCACCTCTGGATAAAGGTGGGAGGAATGGTTGGAAGGATTTCAAATCCTGATGATCGCGTGTGACATCACGAGCACTAAGAGACAACGAGCTCTACTTATCCACTACGCGGAGAAAGAAGTACGACGTGAAATCAAAGCACTCCCAGACACCGGCGAAGAAGACGATGTCAAGAAACTCATCGAAGCTCTCAACAAACGTTTTGCTCCAAAACGAACGAAAGCGTACGAAAAACACGTGTTTCGTCAAGCAAAGCAAAAAGATGGTGAGTTGACGGTACCACGCCCGGTTACAACTTCTTGTGGCAAACTGCAATTATGCCAACCCTGACGAGGAAGTTTGCACACAAATCATTGAACACTGTACGTCACAAAGACTAAGACGGCGAGCATTGAGAGAAGACATGAAGCTAGAAGACTTGTTAAACTTTGCCAGAATGATGGAAGTCTCTGAGTCTCAGGCTGCGGACATCGAGGGCAACCTGCATGCGTCAACAGTCAATGCAGTTAGCCGAGGCTTCAAGTCTAAACATAATAAACGTGGAAAACCAAAACGGGTAGCCGTCAATGAATCGCGATCAACCTCTCGATTATGCTACTTTTGTGGGGGCGATTATCCTCATGACGGACCGTGCCCGGCAAAAGGCAAGAAATGTAAATCATGCGGGAAAGATGGACATTTTGCCAAAGTTTGCAGATCCAAACCAAACAAGGAAAGAGACCGCAAACCAAAACGATCTATAAGGCGAGTGGACGCTGACACAGATTCGAGTAGTGAGTCCAGCCGAGACACCGACCAAGCGACATACG